GCGTCCATCTTCAAGCAGCCGGTGACCAAGATCACCAACCACCCGAGCAACAAAGTGAAGAGCGACCCCCAAAAGGCTGTGGAGCAGCCCCGGCAGGTAAGCCCAGGGCTCCCCTGAATTGGTGAGCAGGTCTTTTGTTTTGTAATTCCATGAAGGAGAGGCAGGGGGTTCTGACCAGGCCAGATGGCTCGTCTTGCTGGATGTTTTCAGTTCTGTGTAAGCTTTGAGGGCCAAGACCATCTTTGGCTTCTTTGTTCATGTGTAAGCTTTGTGGAGAAGGATAGTAGCTTTGTGTGGTCATGGTGGTCACTGGGCTGAGCCAGCCAGACGCCCACTGTGGTCACTGGGCCGCCAGAGCGGAACCCAGCATTCCTGGCACAGGAATCTAGCTGTTGAAGAATCTTACCTATGGGTGTGGCCCCTTCAGCCGATCCCAACTTACAGTGACCCCATAGGACAAAGGTAGCTTGCCCACCCTGTGGGATTCCAGGGCTCTGTTTGCCAGATCAGACAGCCTCATCTTTATCCTTCAGCATAACTGGAGAATTTGAAAGGAAAAACCCGTGGGGTGGGGGGGTTATTTTATGTGACCTCGGATCTCACTTCTCCTCACTTCGGTATGCTGACGTCAGCCGTTCCTCTACTAGTTTGCTGGGTTTGGTAGTCCATTGCAGTGACCGCACAGAACTCAGATAGTACTCAGAATCAGGGAGTTAATAGCAGCCTGGTCTCTCTGGTCCCCTTGACCTCTGTCTCTGTGGATCAGGGAGCCCTCCTGTGGCTCAGTCTAGGCCCTGCTCTGTCTCATGGTCTCCTTGCCTCAGGCCTCTGGTGCCGTTGGTCTTGGCCTCACCACTGTAGACAGGTCTCCAACTTGCTCTTCTGGTGCCTGGGCTGGCTGTCTGAGGGCTCTTACACGGAGGAATGGCTTTTGGCTTTCAGCAGACCATACCCTCGAGGAAACAAGGACTACAAAAATCAGGCTGTGATCCCACCCAAATCCTGGGTAGTGGTGTAGCAGAAAACTCCCTCCAACGTGGACTTAGAGCACTGGCAAGTGTCTAGGGTGCCACTGAAGCCGCATTGTTTCACAGGGCCTGGGTGGCACAGTGCTTGTGTCTGGGCTGCCATCCCAAACTTAAAACCACCCACCGCTCTGCCCACAGAGAGGTAGAGCCTCAGAACCCCAGGGGGCAGTTCTAACCTGTTTTCTAGGGTCGCCGTGCGGCGCCAGCATTAGCGTTGGTCTGGCTTGGTGTGTGCCGCAGAGGGAAGCACTGCGCTGACTTTCCAGAATTACCTAAGACCGCCATGCGCGCATCCGCCACGCCACCTGGGCTCTCCAGCCAGTGGGTTTTGAGGTGGAAGGAGCTGGTTGGGCACCTGTGGGGGGTGGGTTGCTGAGGAGCTGCAGGGTGCCCTGGTGGGTTTTGCAGCTCCCCCGGTGAACAGAAGATGGCTGTGAGGGGCATCCATTGGTGCGCCCTGCCCCCACCCACCTTTGAAGGGCCCCATGTCCTCCAGGGCCCTTGCTTGTCTTCCTCCAGGTTCCCCTCGTGCTTGGAGCACAGGCACCAGCTTGGAACTGCTAGAACCCTGGCTCTGCTGGCAGCATGCTCATTGTCAGCTGGGCTGCAGCCACCGCACGCACACACACTGTCTCATGCCAATGGGGGACACTGAGGTGGCTCCTCTGCCACATATGGCTGAGCAGGCCGGCTGGAACCATAGCCCCGGCCCGACTATCTGTTCTGGGAGTCAGCATCCAGCTGTCTCCCCGCTCCTAGACACTGACCGGACTCTTTTCCAGTGTGACCTTATCTCAACTGGTTCTCACACACAGTCATGCACACAGGTGTTGGGTGTTAGGATGGGCAGATCCTTGTGGGAAACAGATCGTCCCGGGGCACCGTGTGACTGGGAAGCCAGCGGGCTGTTTGGGCCCAGGCTGGGCGGGGCCAGGGTCTCCGAGGAGCAGGAGCATAACCGCAGGGAAGAAGTCCCCGCGTTGTGTCGCCCAATGCACCCTGACCGCATCCCTGGTGTCGAAACAGTTGTGAATTGTTTGCCCAGGTGACTGGGTGTTCCTGAGCTTGGGGCAGATGTGACCTGTGTGAGGCCCAGTCCCCACTTCCTACCTGAGGTGCTGCCCTAGGTGGGGGTCCAGGGCTGGAGCTACATGCTGCCGTGGTCCCTCCTCACCACTGTCCTGTCTGATGCAGCTTTTCTGGGAAAAGAAACTGAGTGGTCTGAACGCCTTTGACATCGCCGAGGAGCTCGTGAGGACCATGGACCTCCCCAAGGGCCTGCAAGGTGACCCAGCTGCCCCATGGGGCCGTGGTGTGGGTGGGGGAGGACAGGGAAGTGGTGTGGGCACAGGTCCTTGGAGGCTACTGTTAGAGTGAGCCCCTCCTGCAGGCAGGCAGGACCTGTGGGCACTGCGAGGTGGGGAAATGGAGGCATGTGCCCACAGCCCCTTGCTCGCCCGTGTGCAGGCACCCTGCTGAGGGCGTGTCCTCAGCCAAGACTGGCTGTAGACAGATCTGGAGGAGTATTGAATTGTATCCCCTCCCACGCTAATTTTGGGGGATGCAGCACAAGACCTCAGGTGCCAAGTGCCCTCGTGGGGCTCTGACACCCATGGGGGATGTGGTTTGCTCTGACAGGGGTGGGGCCCGGCTGTACCGATGAGACCCTGCTGTCAGCTATTGCCAGCGCCCTGCACACCAGCACAATGCCCATCACCGGGCAGCTCTCAGCCGCTGTGGAGAAGAACCCCGGCGTGTGGCTCAACACCACCCAGCCCCTGTGCAAGGCCTTCATGGTGACCGATGAGGACATCAGGTATGGACAGGGGCCCTTGCTCTCATGGGTCCTACCTTAGGGGAACTCCGCGGCAGAGCAGAGCAGACAGGCGCGTTACGCTCCCTGGGTTGGAGGGTGTAGGAAGGAGGGTGCAACCAGCGCGTTTCCCAGAGCGACACAGAAGCAGCGGTCCTGAAAGCCCCCAGAGAGGGGAGGCTGGCCGTCCCCCAGGACACGTTTGTTTGGACTTGTGGGCAGTATTCTCTTAGCAGCAGCCCGGAAGACAGGCAATGGCCGGAGAACAAGCTGTTGGCTCCCTAGAATCCTCTGCCTGCATAGAGCAAGGACCTGGCGGCTCTGCCTCACCCTCCAGCTAGCTTTTCCTGGGCTTGAGTGCAGATCTCGTGGTTGGCTGGCTCTCTCCCCTCTCGTGGCCAGTCTTATCCCGGGCCACCCTACTTGTACAAGTGTATGCACACGGGGGCCTGGGGAGCAGCACTGGGTTTGCCCATGGCTTGCTGTTTCCAGGCTGCCTTCTCAGGACAGCCCCACCCACCCACCCCCTCAGTCCAGTGGGCCCAAGCGGCAGCCGCCTGCCTGTGCCCACAGGCCTGTCCTGTGTCCCAGGAAGCAGGAGGAACTGGTGCAGCAGGTACGGAAGCGGCTGGAGGAGGCCCTGATGGCCGACATGCTGGCCCATGTGGAGGAGCTGGCACGGGATGGCGAGACACCTCTGGGCAAGGCCAGCATGGACGAGGAGGAGGAGGAGGATGACGAGGACGACGAAGAGGAGCCTGACCCAGACCAGGAGCTGGAGCACGCCTAGGGCCGGTGCTAAGGGCCAGTTGCCGTGGACAGAGGACTGGGGTTGGCCCACACCTACTCACCATGCTGTGTCCCCGCCCCGGGCTGCACAGGCACAGCCCAGCAGATGCCTGCTCACGCCCTACCCTGGAGCGTGGCCTCACCACCCCGGAGCTGCTCTTGGTGCAGACTAGGTGGGCTATCTGCTCCATGTGGACACTGATTCCAGTGATGTGGAGGGTAAATGCCGCGCTCACCCCAGTGTGTAGGATGCCAGCAGCCCTGGCCAAGCCCCCACCTCTCTTGTCTGCCTGGGGCAGCGTGGCATCCCCCACACCCCCTCACCTGGGGTCTGTTGGGTCCACGAGCAAGCAGGGGCCAGCAGTGTGAGGGCAGCTGGTTCAGCCCCATCTGCCAGCACCTCTCCCCACGGCCTGACGGACAGATGGACAGACAGGTTGCAGCTGCCCTCGGAGCCCCAGCAGCAGATCTGGCCTGGTAGCAGTGCCCAAGGGCAGAAGCAGTTTGCCAGGCCCAGAGGTGCTAAGGGCTGCTGGCCCAGCCCAGACAGTGGGCTCGTTGCCTGCTATCGCTTGCAGCCCGTAGATGCTGGTTCCTTGTCCAGCCTCTGCACACAGCCCTGCGGGACATGGGGCCGCAACAGCCTGTGCCTGGGCAGCCCTGGTCACTGCCTCACTGGGCAGCTGGCAGCCACCTGGCATCTGCCCCCATCCCAAGGCGTGGTCAGAATGCTGGGGGACTCGAGTGTCCCACACACAGACATAGTTGTGTGTCGCCTCTCTGGCTTGTCTCCAGTAAAGATCTGCTTCCTGCCCAGATGTGGCCCCAGGATGCTGGCTGGGCCCTGCTGGCCACTTTCCAAACCAAGTCAGGCTGTTTCACAGGGAGCCCTACACTGCTGCCTGTGACCAGTTAAGGCCTTGACCTGTGGGAAAGGGGCTGTATGTGACCAGGGATTAAAGCCATCTGAGGTGGTGTGAGTCAAGCCTTGTTTATTTCCTGGAGGTCCCCTCTGGGAAGTGGCAGTACCTATTGTGGCTGTTTGAGTGGCCACTCTATGGGTGCTACACTGAGTTACCTGCTGCCCACGATTGGCTGAAGCTCCCAGAAGGAGGCAGGCTCAGGAACGGCACCACAGCCTGTCTGAGGAGTGGGGTGCGGGCTCCAAAGGCCTATACTAAGCCCATTGAGGAAGCAGCAAGGGCTTGTGTCCACACTGTCATCCCCATATGTTGTCCACAAATGGACTGTTCATTGGGAAGGGAGTCCATGATCCCACAGTGGGGCTACAGCAGCAGCTCTGCCCAACCTACCAGTCTCAGCCGGTCAGGATGACCTGAGCACCCCTCCCTGCCCTGAGGGCCTGTAAATCACACATGGTGCCCTGCTCCCCAAATATTTCAAAATGCCTTCGCACTCCCAGGAGAGCCCTGCTCAGGTCCCACTGTCCAGTTAGGGGTTGTTGTAAAAGTGTGCTGTTCCCCCATCTTCAAGCTCTTACCTCCACCGACCCTGGTGCAGTCTGCTGCGGATGGAAGAGCTGGTGACCCTTAGGAAAGCAAGTTTGCTCCCTTGAGGGCAGTCCTACTCCACAGCTCCTGGGAAGGCAAGGGGTCTGGCTTGGTTTGCCCCCCACCGTTGAGGGTAAATCCCTTTCCTGGTGGGATTCTGCCAGGGATACTTCCCAGGCATTTGTTCTTTCATTACTAATCACTTTAGGTTTCAAGTTTAAGCAGACCCTCCTGGTGCCCAAACAGGCCACTCCCCCACCACACCCACCCGGGATCATGTTCATAGTTACACACTTCCAAATGACTCAGAAACATCTTGCATTGATGGCGGTGAGGCCCCTTGGGTCACCTTCATGCACTACATCCCCACATCGCACCTTCTCACATTCTAGCATACCACTGCAAATTTCAAGGCATGGCAGGGCTGACCACGTAGAAGGGACCCCTGGGGCCTTACAGATCTTTGCAGAATTTAGTTACACTGAAGTCTTACTGCACTCAGCTGTGTGTGGCCAAGACAATCTGGACTGTGCTGGCCCCATGTGATAGGGCCGTGATCTTTATTGGGGACACATCACCAGTTCCCAGGAGCCTTTGGGTGGGTCCAGACCACCCACCTTTCAGATGCTAGCCAGCACTTCCAAGTTGCACCACCAGGGCTGGGTAGGCAGGTTGAGGGTGGGTGCTGAGTGCAAAGTCTTGGGTCCTCAAGGGAGTCTAGAAGTAGTCACAGAGGGACGGTGGTCATGGGATTTGTCTACAAGCCATGTCTACCGCCAAGGATGGCGGGTCACCACCAGAAGCGAGGAGGCAGGTCTATAAAAGAATGAGCCCGGCCAACCAGGTTCTGGACCTGTGGCCTGTCTGGTCATTTGCTACATTGTCCTCCCCAGGAAATGGGTACCATAGGTGCTGCTCGCATCCAGTGAGGGTAAACCAGGGACCCTGCTCAACACTGTATAGGACCACTCCGCGCCCCCAGGTGCCAGGGTCATCAATGTGCAAACACCCCTGTGACTACTGTCCTGGGGGGCCTGCCCACATCTGACTTGAAAACACAGGCAGATGCCACCGCCCACCTGCCAGCGCTCTCCAGCAATGGCAAAAGCCTTGGTGCTGCCTGCAGGTACTGCCCAGAGGGACCCTGGAAGAAATCCTCCTGACAACCAGGAGGATTCAGCCCAGGGGTCCAGTGGACCCAAATCCCACGCCCACCTACGGCACACGGCGGGGGTGGCACGAGTTCTAAAGTTAACTCCACAGGACTCCATGGGACACCACCACCACCCCCCAGCAGGATTTTGCACCTTTGCTTTAATTTTTCACATGGAACACATTTGTTACAGCACAGCATCCTTTTTAGAGCAGTCGTCCCTGCTTCAACTCTCCCAATTACGCAAGCCCCTCAGGGAGCCCCCTGTCCCACTCTCCGGAGTCCCCCTTACCCTCACTGGCCCACAGCACCTGTTTTGTGGACTTGTTCCCCGTTTGGCTGACGCACAACCTCAAGTGTGCCGAGACCCTTCAGTTCTGAAGCATCTCAGTTCTTCCTCCCTCCTGGTGAGACTTCAGAGTGGACACCACTCGGTGGGGAAAGAGTGACAGTCTGGGAGACCCACGGGGCAGTTCTACCCTGTCCTGCAGGGCCGCTGAGTCGGCGTGACTCAATGGTACTGAGTTTGTTAACTTCTCGTTCTGGTCTCAGACTTGTCTTTCTGTTCTGTGTTCAGGGAGCATTCCCTGACTTGACTCTTCCAACCTCCTCCTGGATCCTTTATTTCAGAAACTGGTTTTTCATCCAAGGCTTCAGAGAGCCTGCCTTAGTGGGGTGTTGGCTCCCCGGAGGCAGAATGGCATGGGATCCCCTAGGCCACCTGCAGTTCCCTGGCCATTTGACACCTAAGGGAGGGAGCTGTGAGCAGGGCCTGGGACAAGAAACAGCAGGCAGAGGAGGGTTGGAAAGGGGAGAGTATTCTAATGAGAAGCTGGACTGGGATTCTGTCCCGTGAATACGCGGGAGCCTCACCCCAGGACCCCTATACACCTTTCTTAGCCTCTCATTTCTCATTCCCCACCTGATGTCATGAGGAGGGAGGGAGGGGTATGAGCATGTGGTCTAGAATGGTGGGTGCTCCTGGGGAACCAGGGGGACCTGAGGCTCATCATACTGGACTTCCACTAAGGCCAGTGGAAGTCTGTATGGGAAGCAGGGCATAGTGCTGGACCAGACCTGCTTTGGGGGTGGGAGGGGTGTCATTCCACCAAACCCCGGGTGCTTCTCAGGGATGGAGCTCCACCTTCCCTTAGTCCTGACCCCCCAGCACCTTCTAAAACCCCCCCCCCCTTTCCTGGGGAGGGACTAGACCAAAACCAAAAAGTCAAAGCCACTGCCATCCAGTCGATTCCAACTTACAGCGACCTACAGAACAGGGCAGAACTGCCCCTGTGGGTTTCTGAGACTGATTCTTTACGGGAGAAGGAAGCCCGGTCCCGCTCCCTTGATGGAGCTGGTGGTTTCAAACGGCCAACCTTGCAGTTAACAGCCCAAGGCGTAGCCACTTAACCACTACTCCACCGGGGGTGGAAAGTTATTACCAAGCAGACAACCTTCTGAGCGTGGGGAAGGGTGGGACACCCCCGAGGGTGGCTGTGGATATGGCCTGGGGGGTGGGGGTGGGAAGGTCTGGGTTCCCAGGGGAAGAAGCTGGGGGAGAGGGGAGGGTCCGTCTGGGTTTTGACCAGCATCTCCACAGATGATGTCCGGGGCTGTGCAGAGTAGGAACCCCTGGTGACAGCTGGTTAGGAGCAGGCTGTCATGGGCAGAGGAGGAAGAGGGGGCTGTGAGGGCAGGCCTCCTCCTCCTAAGGGGAGCCCATGGGGTCTGCCCAGCGGTGTTCATCCTATCCCTAGCCTGATTTCCCTCTAGAAATCCCACATCACAAAGCCCACTTTTGCTGGAAGGGTGGCTGGTGGAGTGGGTGACAGAGGAGGTGCCCAAGCACTGGCCTGGGCCTCCGGGGATGAAGCCCAGGTCCCTCACCTCTGAGCCTCTGTCCAGCACCGGGGGGGTCCCAGAAGTGGGATCCCAGTCTCTGCACGTGTGGGCGGGGAACCGACCAGACAGGAGGGGTCCAGTGCAGAGAGGTGGTCGAGGGTAGGGGGACGATGTAGGGAGTAAGACAGCACAGAGGACGTGAGATGGGGCAGGGGTGGGGGGGCGGTGGAGACGAGAGGGCTTCCAGGAGGGCAAGGCGGGAACTGGGGTTGGTAGGGACGGCGGGGATGAAGGTGGTGTCCGGCGCAAAGAGGGTGCCGCAAGGTTCAGACGTGGGGACGGCGGGGGATCTGGGCTCAGGGAGGGGATGGTGAGGACTGAGAGTTAAGAAAGGTACTCGGAGGAAGGCGTAGGCTGGGTCTGGGACTGGAGGGATGTGGGCGGGGCACACATTGGAGAAGTGGGGAGTCCCTGGGAACAAGAATGGAGGCGGGGGTGGGGTGGGGTAAGAGGAACCCTCGGAGCAGGGCGGGCACGGTTGGTACGAGAACCAATAGAGACGGGGACCAAGGACAAGAGGGTGTCCCCCTACCTACCAGCCGGCCAGCCCCGTGGGCACCTGCAGGCTTGCAACTGGGTCTCCA